GTAATTGTCGAGCACCAAAAAATAAGAGAAAAATAGCATAGACCAAGAGACAGTAATCTAGGAAATCTCTTCCGCACGCTTGGGCATAATTAAACAAGATTACATTAACACAACAGCATCTGGATAAGAATATTACGTGAGACACAGAACCTCATCCAGAGTGATTTTCATAATGGAAAATATTCAATAGGTCAAATTTCACATGCCGGATACTAAATTCAACAACTTCCACATTTTAACTGATTAAGAGATTCATAAATATGACCCAAATATCTGAACCACAATACCCAAATAACCAAGTTGATACAATCTTATTGCATCATCATTGATCTTTTCACCTGATGTGTCTAATCAATAGAATAAAGCAATAAATTTATTACGAGCCTTTTCATTCAGTAGATGATACACCACCATGCAATCACTTAACTCAGCAAGGTTTTAATTCATCCATTTCTGTTCAAGTGCCATCATTATCATTTAATGACAAGCATACCTGTGTCAAAACTTTTGATTTGCAAATCATTAGTTCCAATAATGCTATTCTTTGTAACAAAAACAAGAAAATTTCAATGCCACTTTACAACTCTTACCAGCACACTGATGAATTGTAGTTATAAAACTGATTTTTAAGAGTTAAAATTATAACCTGAAAAACTTTGTGCATGGCTTCAATTTGCTTCCTATACCACTTGTAATGGACTCCATTTCTGTAGCAGAAAATTAATAGTCCTCTTTAGTTAAATTTAGTTACTTGCCAATCTCCACGGTTAAAAGCACATACACATCCATATTTATATCGTCATTAACAAAAAAATTATCAAATTTCAAACTTAGCATAGATATCTGGGGAAACAGACCATTGATAAAATTTCGAAAGCTTTAGTGCAGAAATTTGAAGCCAGAAAAGACTCATCTGAATAGCAAATACTAGAAACAAATACCCTAATTTTGGCATGATGAACATAACAACTATAATACTTCATTATTAGGAAAAACATACAAGAACAACTATATTCTGGTAAGCCAAAAATTAACATAGTCGTTCATAAATTCACATTTTCCTTAAGAACTAACAACATGTGAACTACCGGAGATCAAATAAAAAAAAAAATGTCAATCACTAAAGCAGAACAATGCACAAAATCAAGAACAAAAATAAATCTGGACTCGATGCACCATAAATAAAATCACTAGGCACCTAAAACCTGCGAAGTAAGATAAAACCTATATTCGGCCAACGGAAACCACGTGCACAGAATCCTGAAGCGAATAAAAACCACCAATACCTTGTTTGGACTTCTTGAAACCGCCATGGCCATTGAGACCAACCTCGGGTCTGCCTCTTTTATTCACTCCTCCAATCTCCATATCCAAAATCTCTTCTTCTAAATAGAAAAATTAAGGAAAGAAAAGGACGAATTGAATTTATAGGGAGAGCAAAACAGGCTCAAAAAAGTAAAAATGGGCGAAAAATGGAATTTGAGGCCCAGAAATAGAAATTGCTTAGAGTAAGATAGGGAAATACCAGCAGAGATAAAACCCTAGAGAGAGAGAGAGAAGGATAGACGCGGACACGAAAGATGGATTTAATTGTGATTCATTTTCCCTTTCGTCACGTGCGCTGCCATCTTATATAGATCGTCTTCAGTCAGCAGACTCAGCTCGATTTACCGCCTTATTTTTATGGTGAGCTAATGGCCCACATTATTCAGCGATTGTTTGGTCGGGCTCCACGGTGCTTGAAGAATTGGGCTTTGGGGGTTTTATTACGGATTAAAATAGGCTAATCTATATTGAGAAAATTACCTAGCATACTATTATATACCTTTTACATATTTACAACTCATATATTTTTATTAGCAAAATTACTAAATATACCATATTCGCTTGAAGAATTTGGCTTTGGGATTTTGAGATTTGACAAATGGATGTCAAGACAATTTTCATAAATCCAAGTTTTGAGGAAAACATCTATATGGAACAACCAGAAAAGTTCATTACAAAGAGTTAAAAGCATCTAGTCTGTAAGCAAAAGTGGTCCATTTATATACTTAAACACCTGGTTTAATGAGGTGACCCAGTCGTATGGATTCACTCAATGTCCGGATGAGCACTGCATGAACAAGAAAAATGACGAAAACATGGTGGTATTTCTTGCACTATACGTAGATGATATCCTTATCATTGGAAACAATGTAAAGGTATTGTCAAATGTGAATTTATGGTTGTTCAAACAATTTGATATGAAGAATTTGGGAGAAATAGAACATATTCTTGGGATCAAATTTCTAAAGGACCGTAAGAAAAAAAAATGTTATTCTTATCTCAATCTTCGTACATAAATATTGTCTTGGCCCTTTTCCACATGCATGACTTCAAGAAAGGATTCTTACCTTTTTCGCCTAGCGTCCCTCTGTCCAAGGAGATGTCTCCTAAGACAATTAGCGATGCCGTGTACAAGACTGGATATTTGTTATGTTGTGAACACGGTGAAGCATGACCCAAGTACATGAGAAGGAGTAAGGATTATATGCTATTCTAACAGACGACGAATTGCTGCCTTTGGGTTACACTAATTCTGATTTTCAGTCAGACCATAATGAAAGCAAATCTACTTGAGAGTTTGTGTTTACTCTAAGAGGTTGATCCATAATTTTACGGAGTGTCAAGCAGAAATTTGTATGGACTCCACTATGGAAGTCTAGTACGTGCAGTCAAAACCAATTAAAATCGATTGAAATTTATCTTGAGTTAAAGTGAATTATTTTGAATAAAATTGATTGAGTGAGATGAGAGAGATTGTAAATAAATAAGATTGAAATACAGTGTTGAAAGTTTTTTCTTTTTTTTTTTTAAACAATGATTTAAGTTGATGTGGATAAAAGTAAGACATGCGTGAAAGTGATAGATAGTAAAAAATGTGGAAGTTGATGGATGGTGAATTAAAGCTGATGCAATGTAGGGGATATGTGATTGATATTATTTAATTATATTGATAACATACATATAATAAGATTAAATTAGATTTTTTAAGTCAAAGTGAGTAAAAAAAAAAAGCAATCCAATCAAAACTGATTTTGATTAGTTTTACTATCAACTCTTAGGCCTCTTTTACTTTAGTTGATATGATAGGATAATTAAAATTATCCAAGATTAGCTCGCGTTTACTTTGTATGATTAGAATATGATTTACCTTTTGTGGCGTACATGTGGCATGTGGGCCCCATAGGCGTATCATTTATTGGCTGATAATTCCGCCCCGACCACTCTTGAGATTGTGTTATCCAAAACCCACTTTGACCATTTTGCCCTCATTTTTGTCCGCGAAAAGATAAAGAAAATCCCTCAATGTCAATTATTTACCATGAATGGAAGGAAAAATTAGACATTTCAAGTTATATCATTTCATTTAGTCCATGATAGTAAATGCTTGACTAGTAGGGGTGGGCAAAAAAACCGGATTTCCCGATCCCGAATCGGACCGAAATGGTCCAGTTCCAAAAAAATTGGGTTCCAATCGGTTTTTAAAATTTTTGTCCCGATCCCGAACCGGTTGAAACAATGTCGGTATCGGTTTTTAATATTTTTTTCCCGAACCGTTCCGTTTGTCCCGTTTTATTTTTTTTGTATAAAAATATTATATATATATATATATATATATATATACTATACATTAGTTTATATTTATTAATGAAATCTTAACAGCCTTTTTTTTGTACAAAAATCTTAACAAGTTTTTTTTTATTAATGAAAGGAAAACCCAATTCACTTCTGTCTGTTAACTGTTTTATTTACCAGATTAATGAAGCTTAGAAATTTCATTGAACTCACTACTCGACAATAACCTTATTTCATATTAATGTTTCTCTGTTAAGACAATTGGCTCAAAAAATGAAAACATTAAGTAATAAAGTAATACACATTAAGTCATTAACATTTATATTTACGGGCGCAACGCACAGACTACAGAATCCAAATTCCCAATTCAATTAACATTTTTTTTAAGTGAAACAGGCAAATAGACCAACAGAGAATAATTTAGTTTGAAGTTTGATTTTTGAACATTTTTTTCTCGTTTTGTCCCGGTCCTGAATCGTTTCGTCCCGGTCTCAATTGATACCATTCCGTTTGGGACGAGGTGTCGTCCCGGACCGTTTCGAAAAAACGGGACAGGTACCGGGACATGTCCAATCCCGGACCGTCCCAGACCGTGCCCACCCTTATTGACTAGTTGCAGAATTTTGCATCCCATAATGTAAGCATTAGACAAAAAGTTGAAGTATAAAGTTGGTTGGATTATAATGTCCAACCCCGTAAAATAAATGAGGCGTTAGAATAGTAAAACCAAACCGGCATTTGCCCTACGTGGCGCAAAAGGACAGCTTCACAATGCTCCAAATTCACGCTGCTCAACCGCTCTCCCACCACCAGCGCCACCGCGTTCTCGCCGCCAGCTGCCCTCCTCCTCCGACCTCCTCCACTCCCAGAAAAAACCCCTCGATTAAGTCCCTCTGTAGGAAGGGTCGAATCAAAGAAGCCATTCGCCAGCTAAAACACGAGCATAACCCGACTCAGCACACGTACGAGCTTCTCATACAATCATGCGCCCGCAAAAACTCCATAGCCGACGCAGTTTCGGTTCACGAAAGCCTCACAGAAAACGGGAAAGATCAGGACCCTTTCCTCGCCACGAAGCTGATCGACATGTATTCAGAGCTGAACTCCATCCAACACGCCCGCAAAGTGTTCGACGAAATTCCCCACAAAACCATATACGTCTGGAACGCGATTTGTCGTGCTTTATCCGTAGCAGGCCATGGGCAAGAGGTTCTGGACCTGTACAGGAAAATGAATCAAATTGGGATGCCTAACGATAGATTCACTTACACGTATGCACTTAAAGCATGTGTCGTGTGCGAGTCTGAACTTTCTTCTCTTACCCTTGTAAAGGAGATCCACGCCCATATTCTAAGACATGGTTACGAACCCAATGTCCATATAACGACGACACTCGTCGATACATACGCAAAATTCGGCTTAGTGGATAAAGCACTCCTTGTCTTCTCACCCATGCCAGTCAAGAATCTAGTCTCTTGGACAGCCATCATCACCTGCTTTGCAAAAAACGGGAAACCTTCCGAGGCATTGAATTTTTTTCGTGAAATGTTGCTGGCGAACGATGCTGATGCTGTGTTGCCCAACTCAGTCACCATGGTTAGTGTGCTCCAAGCTTGCACTTCGATTTGTGCATTGGAACAGGGGAAGTTGATACACGCGTACGTGCTAAGAAGGGGCCTCGAATCGATTTTACCCGTCATGAATGCCCTCATAACGATGTACGCCAAATGTGGCGAGCTCGAATCGAGCGAAACCATTTTCGACCGAATGGAGAAAAAAGACGTCGTTTCTTGGAATTCAATGATCTCTTGCTACGCTATTCACGGCTCCGGAAAAGATGCTCTCTCCGTTTTCCGTGACATGGTGGGGTCGGGTTTTTCCCCGAGCCTCGTCACGTTCGTTAGCCTCTTGACTGCCTGCAGCCACGCGGGACTCGTGGACGAGGGTAAAGATATATTCAATTCAATGGTTAAAAAATACGGGATTTGTCCGGTTGAGGAGCATTACGCATGCATGGTCGATCTTCTCGGCCGAGCTAACCTTTTAGATGAGGCGGCCGAGTTCATTGCTGACATGGATGATGAAAAGCCCGGCCCGAAAATATGGGGGGCCCTCCTTGGGGCATGCAGGATTCATTGTAACTTTGTGCTTGCGGAGAGAGCATGCGAGAAGCTTTTCGAGATGGAGCCGGAAAACGCGGGAAATTACGTCCTTCTCGCGGATATTTACGCGGAGGCGAAAATGTGGGAGGATGTGAAGCGTGTGAAGAAGCTTCTAGAAGCTCGGGGGTTTGAGAAGGTTCCGGGGTGTAGCTGGATTGAGGTGGGAAAGAGGGTGTATGTGATTAGGTCGGTGGACGAGTTGAATCCTCAGATTGAGTTAATGCACGATTTGTTGGTGAAGCTGTCGAGGGAAATGATTGAGAAGGACGGGTATGATGTCGACTGTGAGGAGAAGCAGGGTTTAGTGCTGGGGCATAGTGAGAAATTGGCGGTTGCGTTTGGGCTGATTAATTGTGATAAAGGTGGGAGGATTAGGATAACCAAGAACTTGAGGTTGTGTGAAGATTGCCACTCGTTCACTAAGTTTGTGTCGAGGTTTGAGGGTAGGGAGATTTTGGTCCGGGATGTGAACAGGGTTCATCGGTTTAGGGATGGAGAGTGCTCCTGTGGGGATTATTGGTGAGTTTTGTTGAGACGGATTTTTCGGGNTCTCTGTGCATGTTTAAACTGTATAGCTTGAAACTACAATGATTACCTTCGTACATTTTGTGAATCGTGTATTTCAAGGGGATCAGTAGCTTTCGACACTTTGGCCTTGTGGGACCAAATAGGTTACAAAATACTCAAATAGTGATGGATATTGGTTGAGCGGAGGGGAAATGAAAGTCTAATTTTGCTCGTGAAAATTTTACTGTAGGGTTTAACTTTTTATTATTGTGTCACGATCAGGGTTGCAAACAAGTCGAGCCGAGTTGAGCATTGACATTATCTAGCAGGATTGATTTATTTTTTTGTTTGAGCTCGAGCTCGACTCGATAAGAAAATACAACAGCTTGAGTTCGACTCGAAAATTTTTATTGCCAATTTACCATTAAGCACTTGTGTTATACTATTTAAATATATATAAGGGTATTGAAGTAACTTAATATATATATATATATATCAAGCAGCTTAACGAGCCGTTCGACAATGCAAAATATGGGCTCGAGTTCGTGCTCGAGACGCTCAAGCTCGACTCGAGTTCGGTCAAACTCGAGCTCGACTCGAGCTTTGACCTGAGCACGAGCCGCTCGAGTCGTTTGCAGTCCTAGTCACGAGAAGGCTTGAATTTTTAACTTTTTCATTTGAGGGTTTCAATTTTAAGTTATTCTTAATTAAATGGCTACTTTTACATTCTACTTTTCAATTTAAAACTACAAATCACTTTGTATTTTTACATAAATATGTAAATCAAAATTCTATTATTTTAAATTTTATATTTTAAATAATTATAAATATTTTTATAAAATTACTTTAGTAAGAAAATTAATTCATTTAAGCTAAATTAAATTCTGCATAACCGTAGCTTATTTGAATTAATTTTCTCACGAAGCTAGTTTTACAAATGTATTTAATACTTTTATTATAGGTATTAATTTTATATATTCTTAAATTTTGGAAAATATAAATTTTATTCCCAAATAATATTTTCTATAAGTTTATTTATAAAAATAAAATTAGTTTTCTAAATAGTTTATATTTTAATGTTACCACATTTATAGATTAAAAATAAGTTAAAATGTATTTATTTAATTTTAAAATAAATTTCATTATGTTTTTGTATAAATTTAAATTATGAAACAACTTTCTTATTAGGTAATTTTACTAAATATATTTAATATTTTTCATTATGAGTACTCAATCATTATTACACATTACATCAACTTTAATTTACTATTCATCCAATCATATAATTTTAACTAATAATCTCTCATATTTTTATATCAAATAAATTTAATTTATTTTATTTTATATATTATTTTAATATAAATCAATATCCCACTAACAACTAACCATAACACTTCTTTCAAAATTAATCATACCAAACCGAAAAATCCAAACCAAATCAAAATATCTTATATCCAATGACCTTTGGGTTTGCCTTATGGCTGCATGTTCGATCACCTTTCCCTTTTTCTTATTAGGGGTTGATTGGATATAACTCAATTTGAGTTTTGATTGGAATTTTAGGTTAATAAGAGTTAATTTTAAAAATGTTGGTTGGGTTAGGTTTGAGTATGATTTTGAATTTGTATTAAAATAATATTTATAATAAAATGATTAAAATTGATTTGATTTTAAAGTGGGAGATAAGTGATTAGAAGTGATGAATAATTAAAATTATATAAATGGATGAATAACTAGTAAAAGTTGATGTAATGTGTGAGGATAATTTATGGGTATTATTAATTATACTGATAATATTATGGACGGGTGAATTAAATTAATTTTGAGTTAGATTTTGAATTGAAAATGTGATTGATAAAAACTAATTGGATATAATTCCTATCCAAGCTCCCTCGGCCATTTGTTTATGATTTTTTTTTTTTAATTTATACTCAATTCATACTTAAAATCTAATTCAACTTTAACTCAATCATACTATCTTCAATATAATCAATATAATTAAATAATATCAATCAATCATTCTTATACATCACATTAACTTTAATTCACTATTCATTTTAATTAAGACCAGCTCCAACGCTAGCCACTTCCTTTCGCTAGAGTGGTGTTGCAATTTCTTTTCCAACCCATATATTTGCGCTATTAAAGATATGTGAACTGTGCACGCTGGCGATGCAGTTCAATGCTAGAGGTTTTTTTTTTTTTTTTTCATTTTTTATTTATAATTGATATATTTTTGTATAATATGTAGTAGTAAATTTATTTATTATGTTAAATAATTTGGTAATATTATTTATAGATGTATTTTAAATTTATTTTGTAGATTTTAATAGTACAATATGAATAAAAAATTTCCATAATAAAACTGATATTTATAATATATATAGTTTTCTTTTTTGTGTAATGTGTATTAATAATATTGAATATATTTTATTAAATAAAATAATAGTGGTATCTGTATATATTAAATTGTCATAACATATGATCTTGACATCTATATATATATTGTTAGTAACATTTTATGACTTAGATTATCCATGGAGAATATATTGTAACTTTAATACATTGTAACTTTCCTGATGTTATTGCAAGAAATACTTGATTAGTCTTCTAATAACTAAAATATAACTTTCCTGATGTTATTGCAAGAAATACTTGATTAATCTTCTAATAACTAAAATAATCGTTGATGCAAGAAATGATATTGATATAGATAATTTTGTATTTACTTTAATTTACAATCATATATTGATAATTTAAATAACTAAATATGTGTAAGATAATGTATTTCATTCAATTATATTTCTTATATTAAAATTAATTTAAAATAATAAGAATAAAATATAAATATTCATGTAGAGTAAAATATAGCATGAGAAAAACTTTGACTATTGGTTAAAATCTACTCTAGAACATAGTAAATTCTACACTAGAGTAGAAATAAAGGTTGATGATAGTTTAAATATCATGTCATATAATCTTTCTCATACTTTATATTAAATTATTTTAATTAATTTAATTTAATATAAAGTCAATATTCCACAATCAACTAATCATATAACATTTTTTAAAATTAATCTTAATTAACCAAAAAAATTTATTTTGAATTATAATTTATATCCAACACCCCTCAAAAGTCAAAACTATGAAAACTAGTTTTGAGCGGACAACGCCCCTCAAAACTATGCAATTAGAACCACTTTGTTCATTCCCATTTACATTTTTACACGACACACACTCACTTATTCTCTCTCACACACACAGTAAGTGAGTGAGTGACACCCTACGCTCCCACAGAATCTACAAAACCCAATCAACAATTATCTCTCATCACGTTTCTAAAGCTGCCGCTAGCTCTCTATCTTGCTACCCTCACTCCCTCTCTCTCTCTCTCTCTCCCTCTCTCTCTATCTCTCTCTCCCTCTCTCTCTATCTCTCCTTTCCTGTCTTTCTTCTACTTCGTTTTCACTCGCTTTTGGTGTAATTTTTCCCTCCCAGAGAATGATATTTGTCTATTCTGTTTGAATTACTTTAATCCCGTTTCCAGCTATCTTGATTCGAGTTTCTTCGATATCGATTTATATTTTTTCCATTTCAAACATCGATTTTGTTTTTT